CACAAACTGAGGACGATATTTTCCTGATATAGGGTTTATTACTCAAGTAAGGGTAAAAAAGTATCTGATTAGAAGGCTACTTGAGTACTGAGTATCATCTGGTCTAATATTTTTAAAATGATGACATCAAACAGACATAAAATAAGAAGTTATGGGCAAATATTGGTATTTTAAAGACTGAAGGGGAAAAATGTAAATAAATAAACAACATAATTACAAAATAACACATTTTAGGCTAAATTTAGACACAAACTGAGGACAATATTTTCCTGATATACAGGGTTTATTTAATTGTGTGAAAATGTAGCACGTTTAAAAAAAATACCGCGATAATACCGAAAACCGTGGTAATTTTGGTCACAATAACCGTGAGGTTAAATTTTCACACCGTGACAACCCTAACCCCCAAATTCCACTACCTCCGCTCCGCTCCAACACGAACGCCGGAGCAAAATCGGTCCCGTTGTAGTCAATCAGAGCAATTCCACTACTGCGGCCGTGCTCCGGCAGTGCGGCGCCGTGCGCCGCCCTCTGTTTCCGGCGTCCGGCAAAAATAGAACCGATCCTATTTTCGCCGGACGCCGGAGCACCTCCGCAGTAAATGGACAGAAATCACAACGGCCCAACAGGAAAAGGAGCGAGCACAATTTCCGTTTTTCACAATAAATCGATAAACAAAAGGCGTTTTTTGTTTCATATGCACAGGTTTAACAACTTTTAACAACTATCAATGGCGGCTGAAGTTTAAATGCACAAAAGTAAGCCATAAATACAGTTTCTACTATCAAAGTAGTCACACTTTGTTGATCCAAACACTGCTGATCTCTCAACACAAATGATGGGCAGATTAAACAGTTCATGTCGATGTTTCTCCCACACAACGGGTGTTTGGATCTAACTTCCGCGTTTATTGCTCGGACTGTATCGCAAGATCTCGAAAATCCCGCGCATGCTTGTTTGCCCCCCTCAGGTCTCCGCACCGGAGCGGAGCCGTTGTAGAGCGGGTACCAGTAAACATTGAGTTCGGAAGCGAGTGGCTGCGGAAGGCGGGGGCGGAGCGGAGCGGAGCGGAATTTGGGGGTCATACAGACCATTTTAGATTAGGTTACATTTCCTTTATTCCCAGATTATGTAGTTTGTAGCACTCATTATAATGTTGTAGAAAATTTCTGGCCAATGAATGTGATCGGTATCGGTGATCGGTATCGGTGATCAGCATTCTTTGATATCGGTATCGGTGATCGGCAGCAAAAAAACCTGATCGGTGCATCCCTAGTTTAAAGCAGCTGCTTCAGCACAGACCTGTGGAGCGGACGCAGAAACGGAGGAAGACTCTTCAGCTCTGCGAGTGACAGCAGCGCTGTTGTGATGTCATCAAAGTGTGACTGATGACATCATCAACCTATAACCACTCTTTTATAAAACCTTTTCTCATTTAAAACCATAAACTGTGTTTGGATCAGGAGTTTAGGGATGGGGTTTTTTTCCTTTTCAATTCACTGAACCTGGAAGTTTGAATTTCCTCCAAAATGTACAAAACCTGTAAAGTGTTTTAGATTCTGGGTGAAGCCAAACGTTCCAGAGAAATAAAGGATAAACGGAACCTTTCAAACACCAGAACTATTCTGCGCTCAATGCGTCTAAATCCTGGGAACGCCTTCCTCTCGGTGGATCTGGACCTGGAATTCAGCAGCTTCTTCCAGACCAGAACCAAACCTGCTTCCGACTTCCAGAGACAGCAGCGCCTGCAGGAAACGAACCCACTCAGCTAAGGTTGCTAGGATACCACATGGTTGACCAGGTCTGGAGATGAATCCCACTTCCAGACTGCATCCTCGGTTCCTGGAGGATTTTAACGTTTTGTTGATTTTTACACGTTTGACATAATTTCTGGAAACTTTTCAGGTTGGGAACGTTTCAGGAAACCTAACTGAAGACCAAGTTCAGCGGCTTTATTCAACACATCGGCAGTAGTCTCCAGTGGAAATGAAGGCCTTGTGAGTGGATCTCTGTGGTTAAGAGGAACGCTCTGGCGCTCTTGTTTCAGGAACTAGAAGTGAGCCGGATCAGAGAAGAGCGTCGGACGACAGGATCTGGAGTCTTACTTCCTGATATTTAGACATCTCTCCTCTGATTGGCTAACAGCAGCACCGTTTGTACATTCGTTCTGTTGTTTTCATCTTGGTTCCTTTTTAAGCACAGCAAGAGTTGCTCTTACCTTGTTTTTGCTGACGTTTCATAACGCTGCAGTCCTCCTCAGAGCTTAGCTGCTGGACAGCTGGTCGAAACGTCAGCAGAACTAAGTCAAACGCGCTCTTCGCCGAGGTAAAGGATCCACGTAATGTAGTAACAGCAACACTGTCATAACACAAGCCTGGAGGAGTTCTGCTGTGTGGTGGAGTTGCTAATGCTAACAGTTAGCTTCTACTAGCAGAGACGTCCTCTGCTGTTTCCTGGATGCTAAACCAACAACAGCCTTCCCCGTCGTGAGTCCTGACGAGCCTGTAAGGTGAACCATCGTACGCTCTGATCCCGTCACCATTAACGAAACTCGAGTATTCCTTCAGCGTAACGAAGCGATTACACTGATGCCTGATTCAAGCCGATTCCCTCGCAGGTATACATCACACGCAGCAGACAGGCGTTTGGTTGGAGACAGACATGTTCTGCAGCATTTGATGACGGAACATTCCGTGCACTTCGTGAATCTTGAACGCTCCACATGACCTGGTTGACCTGCATGGCGTGATGTGCTCCTCCATTTCCCAACAGGAAGTAGAGGTGTGTATGGTAACAGAATCGACAGGTTCCTGGATGCTTCGTCCACTTGGAGTAAAAGAAGAATGGAGATCCGAAGGGAAGTCAAAATGTCCCCTGAAACTTTGTTGTTACAGGTCCCCACACACACACACACACACACACACACACACACACACACACCACCACCACCACCCCCAAACACAAGAAAGCACAACACTTTTACAGGTTGCATCAACGTCTGGAAGCGTAGCGACCATTAATGCAACAACGAGGTGCTGAATAACCCAAAGCAGGAAGCTGAACAACCTGCTGTCCTCGGCACTTCCTGCAAGTTCTCACAAGCTCGCGCTCCATCAGCAGCGCCCCACGTTTGTCCATCACTGCGTACTTTATACCTACCCTTCTGTTTTCCTTTGGGGCACCTTGCATCCTTATCTGTCACACCAAACACATCATGGACGTGCCTCCCATCGTTCTCACGCCATCACAATAAAAGCTTTCTGATTACTTGAAGAAGTGACTTCCACATGACGACTGGAGGAACGCCGCTGTGGTTTTCCGCTGTGAGAACGTTCTGGTAGGTCTTACAGATGACATGTTTGTAGATCAGAACGTGTTCGCAAACATTTTACCCGAGACTACAAAGAAGAAGGCGGAGCTTATCAGTTTACTTCCACACCCTGCTTGCAGAAGTTGCACCAACACGGATTATAGAGTGGATGTCCTTGAACGCCTGACCGGTTCCATCATCACTGAGTGAGCACACTGATGGTCAAACCTGTAAAGGGTGATTAAAAGCAACACTTGGGCACAGAAGGAGCAGCTTTACACGCCCTGATGGAGTTCCTGTTCTGGGGTTTAAAGAGTAAATTAACACATTTATATAAAAATATCACGTCGTGCTTCTGTTTCCTTCGCACTGGGACTCCTCTGTAGTCGCATCCTGAGCAGCTTTCTTCAGAGTCTCCTAACTGTCTCAAATCAATTGCAAAAGATCCCAAGTTCTTGGTCAGAGTCACAGAGAACCACTCCTGCTGGAATGTTGACCTTTAACCTTTAGGACCCGTGGTGATGATGCTGGCATCACGACATCAAACATCTGCAAACATCTGCTTCTTGAGTCAAAAGTGAAAATCCAGAGTGACATTCTACCTGCAGATATGTAGAAAATGACTTCTTTATTTTACTCTTTTACATTTTGATGATTTATTCCAGTCTGCTTCAAGGGGCGGGGCTCCACAGGGCTCCGTTTCCGAGGTAACGAGATGTTTCTCTGCATAAACAAACACGTTTGTAAAAATAACGATCGAGCTTTAGTGTGAAGAGTCAAAGCTTCAAAGCTAAGCACCTGAGAAGTAACACACACACACATCTCCCTCCTCCCAACACACACACACACACACATCTCCCTCCTCCCAACACACACACACACACACATCTCCCTCCTCCCAACACACACACACACACACACACACACACCTGTGAGGATCCACAAAGCCCTGGTATTAGCTCTACTTCACACACGCACACACACACTCTCTCCTGCGTCTGACAGCCAGCGGGTCCTAAACAGCAGCATCATTTGTCGAAGCGGCTCTGCAGAACACATTTGTATCATTCTCTTTGGGTTTTTGCTGCAGCCGACCCGGTTCTGGTTATTTTGGGTCTGATGGAAACGTTGGAAGCTCTAAAAGGATTGTGTGGATGGGGGAGGGTGGGGCTGCGATGGCAGCAGAGGTGCCAGAGCTCATTAAGAAGCAGGACCACGCTCCGGTGCAGCGCATGAGGCTGAGGGGGCGGAGCCTGGACTGACACGTTTCACCTTGGTGTCACAAACAGACCCTCAGAGAAACGACATTCATCAAAGCGCGTGTCGGACGCAGCCGGGAACGAGGATCTGTTGGATTAGTTAGAGAACACGGATTCTGTCATGAGCGTTTGTGCAGAAGCTGCTGCTGCGTGTCAGAGACGTCGTGGGCTGTGGCGCCACCTCCCCGTCACAACGGCTCACTTCTCTGCTGAGGAGACCTCCGGCCCTCCAGCATCCCGGAGGTCTGCTCCGATCCCAGCTTCATGTGGAAAACCTGCAGCTCTCTACTGCTGTTCAGAAACAAACCTTCTGTAGGTTTAGGCGCTCTAAAGCCGAAGCGCTGCAGCCGGAGGGCGGGCTAAAATGCTGCAGGTTAATAAATCTCATGAAGAGCTTTTACACATTTCACACACACACACACACACCAGTCTGCATTTCTCCTGACTCTGGAGGTTTATTCAAGCTCGGACACTCATCCTGATCACATCTGCAGCTGAGAACAAACAAACGGACCATTCTAGAAAATCCACCTCCTTGTTTTCCCTCCAACCAGCTGAACTCGTCCCTCGCTCCGGATTAAAACGAGATGCTGGATGATCCGGTGCCACCAGTCTGCTGAACTAGTCGCCTTCATGTTTGCTTTTCTTCTTCTTTTTACTCCACGGTTCTGCTGCGCCACCATAAAAAAAGTCTACTGGTTCTGATTTCACCGCCGCCGCCTTCACCCTCACGCTGGGCTCCAGTCCCTCCTCCACCTCCTCCCGCTCCCAGTCCTTCTTCTTCCTCTTCCTCTTCCTCTTCTCCTGGAAGGGAATCGCCGCTTCCTCCTCAGGTGCATCTAAAGGTTCCTGCTTCACTCTCAGAACTTCCTGCATTTCTTCTGACTTTATCCTCCTTTCTTTCTTTTTCTTCTTCTTCTTTTTCCTGCCGTCCTCTTCCGCGCCGTCCTCCCGTCTCTCCTGAGACGCTTCTTCTACGAACGTCTTGAACACGAGTGGGCGGAGCGTGGTGGACGAGGGACCAAAGGCAGCGCCGTCCACCTCGCTTTCTGCTATGTAGGTCAAAGTGGGAACCTTGCTGCCAAAGGGGAGGAAGCGCTGTTTGAGCCCGGGCGGGATGGACGGTGCCGGAGCTATGGGGATGACTCGAGGGACCCGGTTGGCGGTGCCATCTGCGTAGCTCTCACACACGTTGAGCAGGCCTGAGAATGTCGGAGCTAAAGTGGCGCCGTCTGAAGACGGCCGGTCCGCAGTCATCAGTCGAAGCTCTGAGGAGCAGCGGTTCGATGCCAGGATGCTGAAGACCCGCGGGCCTCCGCCGGTCTCTCCTGCAGCAGGAACCGTCACCGTCTGAAGACCCGAGAGAGGAACCCGAACGCCGCTCAAGCTGGCAGTGACAGGAAAGGAGAAACCAGAAGATTCGAGTCAAACGGTTGGGACTCGTAAGAAAACACAAATACAGATGTCATAACATCTACACACAATGTAAACAACAATAAAATGATGATGCACTCTGGGATATTTAGCTTAGGAACGCAGATCAGTTCAGTTAAGATCATTTCTATAGCGCCAAGTCACGACCAGAGTCGTCTCAAGGACCTGCTCACAGTAAACAATACAGGTCAGGTCACTAAGCCAATCAGAAAAAAGGTTCCTATATAAGGAACCCAGCAGGTCACATCAAGTCACTGACTAGTGTCGGTGACTTGATGCAATCCTCATACTAAGCAAGCATGCAGCGACAGTGGAGAGGAAAACTCCCTTTTAACAGGAAGAAACCTCCAGAGGATCCTGGCTCAGTATAAGCAGCCATCCTCCACGACTCACACACACACACACACACGCACACACACACACACACACACACACACACCCAAACACACGCACGTGCGCACACATGCAAACGCACGTGCACACACACACATACACAGACCCAAACACACACACGCACGTGCGCACACATGCACATGCGTGCGCGCACACACATGCACACACACATACCCAAACACACACACACATGCACACGCACGTGCGCACACACACACATACACAGACCCAAACACACGCACATACATACACACATGCGCACGCACACATACCCAAACACACTCACGCACACACTCACGCACACACACAGACACACACACATACCCAAACACACTCACGCACACACACAGAGACACACACACATACCCAAACACACTCACGCACACACACAGACACACACACACATACCCAAACACACTCACGCACACACACACACAGACACACACACACATACCCAAACACACTCACGCACACACACAGACACACACACACATACCCAAACACACTCACGCACACACACAGACACACACACACATACCCAAACACACTCACGCACACACACAGACACACACACACATACCCAAACACACTCACGCACACACACAGACACACACACACATACCCAAACACACTCACGCACACACACAGGTTACATTGTGATTTGTTAGTAAATGTTCTACTTGGTGAGAGATAAGCTGTATTTGTTTATCCTAGTGAATCTATAACTAAACGGGTAAACTAGTTAAAACAACCCAACAACAGACGGAGACTGAAACTTCTCACTAACCAGCCTCACCAGAGACAACGTGACATCCCAGAGGCACGAGTTGGAGACCGAATGATGTCACCAGCAAACAAACGGAGACTACGTTAAGACACTGTGTTGGTTACGTCACGACTCAGGCGACCCGGGTGTTAACGAGTCATACCCAACTACTCACCGGGACTTGACCCAAAAGGTCGCAGCCCGGTGAGACGGAAACAACGTCACCCTGAGTAAGCTGAAGGCCTTTAGTGATGGAAGCTCTGACCGGACTCACCACTTTGGGTCGAAGCTGGCCGGAGCTTTGATGAGCCACAGCTCATTCTCACCCGCGGTCAGGTTAGCCGTTAGCGTGCTGCTGCAGGGAGCATGGCAGAAACACGCAAAGTCCTCAGGACACTCGTACTTCGTCTTCTTTCTGTCTGTGGAAACGAAACATTAAAACTGTTAGAGGCTAAAACACGACGCAGGACCGTCAGGACACAGCAGCCCTCCCGGGTGTTTCGCTGCTTAATGCGCTCATGCAGCCTGAAGGGTTTTCTTTACATTCATTTAGTTTCACATGAAGCAGAAATGCAGATTCCCGTTTTGAGAGACGGTCCCAGTGTCTGGTGTTGGTTCAGCTCTGACTTGCTGAGTGTGTGTTGGTGAGGTTCTGGTGCTACGACCCAGGGGAGACGATACGATACATCCCCAAATACTGCGATATATTCAGCCAGCCATTTTTAGACTGAAACTATTGTAGGAAAACTCAACAAACATCCCAAAGTGACACGTGTTTACCATGAGGTGTCTAACCATAACAGAGGGATTTACATTTCAGTGGTGGAAACAAAACCCACCGCACACGTGGGTTGGGCGACGGGGCGAATGATTTACGGTTGTTTTTTTACAGGAGGCCATTTATTTATTTACTTGTTTGTTAATGATTCACACGCCACACACAGAGAACATTGTGGAGGTAACGATCAAGAAATCATCTCCATCAGCCTGTCTGAGCATTCCTCACCCTCTCCGCCTCTCGCTGATGACAGCGGGCGCGCTGAGGAGGAGCTCGTCCGTGACGCACTCCACATCGTGCACAACAGCGCGGTGTTGAGTGGAAAGTGGAAACTACGGCTACGGTAACAGGGATTCATGTTGCAATGACGATATTATGTGCGATAAATTAAAACTTCACTCTGGAACAAAAATAATCAAAAACAAAGAAAATTTTAAAAAAGACTAAAAAAAGTCATCAAAATGAAGGGCCGTCTGCCTCGGGGGCGGGACTCCAACCTGAGAACCCACCCAATTGGGTGAAGAGCTCTGTTTGGTTTGTTTAAAAAACATGGCGTTTCCGTTTGATGGACAGAATGCATTATGGGTAGCAAACATTTGAGCTGACCATTCATTGCGATATTTATCTGTTCTTTGCGATATGCATATTGCGCATGCTGATATCGCGATAACGATATATTTACGATATATTGTGCAGCCCTTCTATCGTGGGCAGCAGTAGCTCAACAGGCTGAGCAGGTTGTCCAGCAACCGGAAGGTTGCAGGTCCGATCCCGGCTACAGACAGAGAATTCTACTGTTGTATCCTTGGGCAAGACACTAAACCCACCTGGTGGTGGTCGTAGGGACCGGCGGCGCCTGCACTCGGCAGCCTCGCCTCCGTCAGTGCGCCTCAGGGCAGCTGTGGCTACAATGTAGATCATCATCACCAGTGTGTGAAAGGATGAATGACACACTGTAGCGTAAAGCGCTTTGGAGTCCTCAGACTCTGAAAGGCGCCACACAAGTGTGGCTCATTTATCATTATCATATCTTTCAGCGTCTGGGAGACTTCTGGTCATTTCACTTGGAGAAATGTTTCCTGGTTTTAAAACTTTGGCTGAAGAAGCACTCGCTATTCAGCTTCTGCTTCCAGTGTGTCAGCGGAGCGTGGCTTCCACATTAAACATCCATCTGCACTGACTTCACAGGCCACGTGTCTTTTCATATAAAACGCATTTTTAAACATTATTATATTTATCTTTTTTTTTTTTGTCTTTTGAGGAATTTTAAATTGTGCGTGAAGATAACGATGACTCACGGCTCAAAAAAATCCTAAAGTCACAACACAAAACCTGATGATGTAATAAAAATGTCTACCTGTTGTAGTTTTTAAGATAGAGCTGATTAATGCTGGTCAGTAGAGAAATGTGGGCGTGGTCGCCCTTTAGCCATTCCCGAAACGGAAGCTAGCTTCAGCCTCGTTCTACAACTACAGTTAGCATCACTGGCGCTAACTCACGCTAGTAAAACCCGGTGAGCCCTAAAGAGTGTGTTCCTCATTAGTACTAACCTACAATGTAAGAATAAAAGCATCACTACATTTACTTGAATGGCTTCTATAGTTTTAACAATGGTCAAGTTTTAGGAGGAGAGGCAACCCTAACCAGACCCTTTCTATCGGCTTACTGGTTTCAGGCGGCGGTTCCGCGGCTGGATTCTTTGCTTCATCTTCACTCGATGACGACGAAATATCTTTGGACATTTTTATATTTTAAATCACCACAAACTAGAGCTGGGAGCAGCTTTCTGCCTCCACACGCATGGCTGCGAGGTCCGAACATGTGTTGACAAAAAAATGACCTTCACTTCCGGGTCAACACCGGACGTAGTTCCGCTTCCAGGTTGGACAGAGGTGTTTGTGTTGGCAACACTGCGCTAGAGAACTCAAACCCCCAGAATGCCCTTCGGAGGGTTACGTAACGTTCCAGGAGCAACGGCTCACAGCGGAGGGAGTAGGCCGAAGCGGGTAAACGGAGCAAATACATGAAAAAAGGCGAGAACGTCTGAAACTTTTGTGCCACTTTGTTCTTCTTAGAATGTGAAAGGTTGTTTTAAAGCTGGGTCGAGTCTCTGTGGCGGGTCGTTGTCAGGAAAAGAGGGCGTGCACTCGCAGCTAACCTGCGCTAGCTCAGGGCGAACAGGTAGGCGGCCCGCCATGTCGTCCCCGTCCTCCTCCTCCAGGCGCCAGTGGTGCTACCTGTGCGACCTGCCGAAGATGCCCTGGACGGTCGTGTGGGACTTCAGCGAGGTGGTCTGCCGCGGCTGCGTTAACTACGAAGGAGCTAATCAGATCGAGTTCCTCATAGCGAGTGCCCGACAGCTGAAGCGGAGTCACGGCGTGCAAGACGGTAACGTGCGCTCACCTGGTCCGTCTCCCAGTAAACACGGCGCTGTGCCCAGACCAGAGCCGGTGGCTGACGGCGGCAGGCAGCACACCGAGCGCTTTGACCGGGGAGGGAGAGGAGAGAGCACCGGGTCGGCTGGTCGCGTGCCGCCCAACGGGCTTCATCGAGACGGCCAGCCGCCTCCGGAGGTGAACCGCCAGAGCCCCAGCAGCAGCCGGAGACCCATGATAGGTGCGGCCATCCCTCCCAGTTTAGTCACTCAAACCATCGCAGGGATTCCCCAGGGACTCCTCCCGGGCATGCCTGCGGGTCTGACCGCCCGGACAGCCCCGATGAGCAGCCCCATGATCTTCCCTGCGCCGGTGTTGGCGGAGATGAGCCGCAGGCAGCTGGGGATTGGAATGGGAATATCCCCCTTCATCGCTCCAGAGCTGGAGCGGGAGCTCAGTGCCTCCCAGAACCAAGCCAAGTCACAGACCCAGTCTGGGACCAGTGCCAGCAAGAGTGCATGCCTGCCTTCCTCTTCCTTCTCCATGGCAGGAGGCGTGAGCCAGACCAGTCCCAAGCCCGCCTCATCTCCAGCCAGGCAGACGCGTCCCCCCACAGCCAGGTCTGGAGCGGAGCCCCTGGGATCCGGCTCCTCAGCTGAGGCTGCCACCGCTGCTGCAGCACTACCCAACAACGGTGCCTCTGAGCTGGGGTCAGCATCTGCCAGCAACACCCATTCAACAGGAAACGCGCTGTCCTGCACCTTGTGTCACGAGAGACTCGAAGACACACACTTTGTTCAGTGTCCGTCGGTCCCAGGACACAGGTGTGTGAGCTTTATTACGTTTATGAGGTGATTGAAGTAATTCAGCGAATGAACGTCGTTCTTTCCTCCAAACACAGGTTCTGCTTCCCCTGCACCAGAGTGTACATCCAGAGCCGGCGGGGTGATGGGGAGGTGTACTGCCCCAGTGGAGAACGCTGTCCGTTGGACAACTCTCCCAACAGTCCTCCTTGGGCCTTCATGCAGGGAGAGGTCTCCACCATCCTGGGGACGGCTCCAGCAGCAGCAGCAGCAGGACCAGCTGCTGCTGGAGCCAACGCCGGGTCGGGAGCCGCGCCAAATCCTGGATCAGGGAGTGGAGCAGGTGGAGGTGGGGACGTCACCGTCAAAAAGGAGAGAGACACGTGATGCCTGGGACCCACGCCGCATCAGGTAGGTCCTCTCACCGCAGCCGTGGCTGCACATCTGTCAGCATCTGGCCTTTTCTCTGTAACGCCGCTTCTCCTAGCGCTGTTTTTGCTTTGGAACAAACCAGCTTTCATCTTAACGTTTATTTGATCTTTGCATTCCCAGAATCAGATCCAAGGCAGAAGAAGTCAACACTGGACCTCCGAGGGACCCCAAACCAAACCACGACTCAGAGAAGCTTTACTAAACCGCCAGAACCACGTTTACGCCCTCCTGGACACGGAATGTCAGATTATTTCTCGTTTTTGACTCATCTAACGTTTCACGAGTTTACCCTGAAGAACAATGTCAGCAAATGCTCCTAATCCTGTTTAATCCAGCAGATTAAGGTAATAGCTGAAGTAGCGTGTCCGGATTGATGAGCTGTTGGCATCCCATAATCGGCGCTGACCGGGAGCGACTTTGGAGTTCTGCAGCGGGCCAGATCGCACAGATCCGCCCCGACAGCTGGAGCGTTTGTTCCACCGTGAGTTCTAACAGAACCGGCCCAGAGTCCAAAGGCAACAGCACAAGTGTGGCTCTGAGCTCCAGGTCAGATGAGTTCAAACTAAAGGCAGCATCTCACTGAGCTGAAGCTCCTCCTGAGTTCCCGGGCTTCGCTGGTTTCCACCAGAACCGTTTTCAGTTTTAACCCAAAAACAGAGAAGCACCTTAACCTAAACCTAAGCAGTCTGTCGGAGCCGCTCAGAACCAGCAGTTGGTTCTGGTGAGGTTTGGGATTGGGCTGAAAAACGTTGAAACCAGGAGACGTTGATCTGATTTTCCACGAGTCGAAGCGGCGGGACTCGGAGATGACCCCCCCCCCCCCCCCCCCCAAGCCCAGCTCTAGCCTGCTGTATGTGTGGGACGCCCGGGGTCGTGTCTCCTGGGACGGTGACCCTTCTCGCTGACGTGCGGTCCCTCAGCCGTAGTTATGCAACAGTCTGAAATGTTAGTAAAATAATTGTGTATTAATTCTTAAACCTTGAGTTTGGAAGGAAGAATCCACCTGAAATAAATATTATATTTTATAACATGAATTATTTACGTCCCACTCAGAAAGATGAATGTATTTGCAGATTTTTAGACTTTATTTGAAAATGTTAAAAAAAAAACTTAAAATGTTGAGTTTGTTTTGGGTTGATCCTCACACACACACACACACACACACCAAAGGTAGTTGTAACCTGATGCTTCTGGATGTAAATGTTTATAGAAAATAAAATATAAATATGTGGATTGATTGTTTTTGACCAGCTGGCCCCGCCCCCGTGCTCTGCTGCACCTTAGGGAGTTATTCAGCATCCAGCAGCAAGCCAGGTCCGTCATGAGCGAGCGTCTTTTAAAGGAAGTTCATTAGATTATGCACTGATATGCGATGCAATCCCTTGTTAAGTGCCTTTAAAAAAGTTTACCATCAGTTTGTGTGGGAGCCTCAGGGGAAGGGCGCATGCACCTGGACGCTTCAGCATCACACCCACCTTTACAGAATCCACTTCCCTTCGTCCCGTCGGACGGATTTTCCTTTGATCCGAAGCTTTTTGTGAAGTCGGCTTGCTGCTTTTTGTTTCTGTGCATCCTTCAGTTTGGGTTTCCTTCATCTATGTTCTTTATTTAGATCTTGGTTTTACTGCAGCTTCATGTAAAGATGATCAATAAACCAGATGGACACTCGTATTCTTGTCTGTTTTATTCGCTGAGCAGCTTTAATGTGTCGGAGGTTATTTTAGGTCAAAGGTCAGTCAGCTTGAACCTCGTTCTTGAGGGATCAAAGGAAAATGTTATTTCTGAAGCGTGGAGACTCGAGGCCCACAGAAATGTTAAAGCTGCTGGCAGTGGCTCATCAGGCTGGCATCTAAACACAAGTGGTAAATATCTTTATTGTGTGCATTTCCTGTTTGTGCTCAAAGATAAAAAGTGAAACGAGCCGGATGTTGATCAGCTGGAGGAGGATGGAGGTTCTGCCTCTGCAACGTGATGTAGTGTTTCTGAAGGCCACCAGGAGGCGCTCACACCCAGAGCTGAAGGCACAAAACAGCTGCTGATGATTTACTGAAACCGGTCAGTTTGGTAAACGATGACGCTTCTGGGTTCCTGCTCCGCTGATCTGTGGTTTCCTCCACCAGACTCCGCTCCTTACAGCGTTTGTCAGAGCAATTATCGGGGTGATAATGGACGCGACGGACGCCATTGACATGCAGACGCGCCCGCAGAGAGGGGATGACTAAAGATGCTGGAGCATCCACGTGTTTGGGTCACAGAGATGAGGAAGTTAGAACAAAACTGGGAACACAAGAGACTCCTGATCACTCTTATTGAGCCGAAAAGGTTTGAAATGAGAATAAAGGCTCAAACTTTAATTAACAATTAGAAGAAGTTATTTTTAAAATAAAAACAGAAGTTTTAATAATGAAACTTTACATTTTAAAGCATTCCTGACATTCATTGTTGTTTATCGTTTTAAAACAACATTTTTTGTGTTTGTGAAACTTTGTTTTTAACCATTTGATGCATAATGGTCACTACAGTGGACAGGTACTTATCTATTTATTTGTTTATTGCTGTTAAGCGCAGCTGTTGAAGACTTTATTGCATGTGTGCCGCTCCACTTGGACTTCAGTAAGTCAAGCCAACATATTTCCTGTTCAGAACGCTCGCGGCCCACTGAGGTGGACGTGTAATAAATTATTTGTAAATTATTAAATGTTACAAAAATATTTGTTGAAATTTGTTTCATTCACACCTAAAGAGGAATGGAAAAAATGTTTAAAAAATCTTGGTGGAAGATTTCATAATTCATGCATCAAAGGGCTAACTTGAGACACCTCACAAACCGCTGGTCCTCCGGATGGAGCATCAGGACTAGTACCTTCACCAGAGGCCTGCTGATCCAGCCCTAAACATGTCTGCTGCCCCCTGGTGGAGGCGCTTCAGGTGTGATCATATTAATGCTTGTTCCAAACAGCTGGTTAAAGCTGCGCTTGTTTATTATTTTACCTGCAACGAAGTCTTTTATTGCTTCAGCTAAACAATCTTATGAACACATGAAGGATTCTTTCATTCATAAGCTGCACCTCCTCCCAAAGGTGAGTTTTCACCTCCACCTATGATTTATGATTTTAATCTGCAGATTATCAGCGAGCAGCTGGAGTCTAAGGACAATGACGTCATCACACAGGCGAGGAGAAGATCCGGATTCCTGAATACGACGTTTGGAGATTTTCCAGTTGGATTTTTCCTTAAACCATTCCTAACTCCGACCCCTCTTCCTCTTTAGCGCGTTTCCTCTGGATCCTTTCTCAGTTTAATCCCGTCGACCTCCCGCGTGCGCATCCATTACATCCATTCAGTGTCCCAAAGACAAAGGGCTCGTCTTCACAGGCCTCCGTCTGCTCCGAGGCCCGATGTGTATCCCCCCCCCCCCCCCCCCCCACACACACACACACACACACCTGGAGGAAGGCCTTCTCCAACAGCTGATTTTCTGATACTAATCTCAGATTAATATTCTAATGTGATAGTCAGACTTAACCTAGCTAGAGGACCCCCCCCCCACACACACACACACACACACACACACATGTTAAAAATAACACGTTAGCTGCTGCTCTTTGCCTCCAGGACAACGCGAGCGTGCAGCCTCACAGGAATTATTCGTTACAACAAAACAAACCTTTGATGATTGAGTAGAAACACATTCTACTTTTTACTTTATTCTACTGCAAATCCGTCCCTCTGCGCGCCCGGTGGCCTCGCAGCCGCCGCGCCAGTATTCAGCACGCCAGGGGGCCACATCGGCCTTCGCGCGGGGGCCCTTCCTGGATCCTAACGCGGTATTCAAACGTCCGAGGCTGGGGGTGGGGGGGCGGGACCGGCGGGACCTTATAAGAAGGAGGTCCAGAGGTCCCGACTGTGTTTGCGCGCAGCGAACGTGCCACCAAGCTGCGTCCCGCCGGTAGAGGAGCAGAGATCGGGTCCGGGAGCGTCTCCAGCATCATGGACGACTGACAAACCTCTAAATATTGATTTTAACCCTTTTTATTTTCCCAGGAGCAACGCGTCCCCTTTCAGCTTCATCCAGTCATTTTGTACCTGAAGGACAGAGTTGGTCCCCCGCTGAGAAGAGTCGGCTGAGGATTTAATTTCAGTTTTTGGTCTGAAACCCTCCGACTGCTGCTGGGACCCGTTTGGGATGTTGAGCTCCGTGAAGATGGAAGCGCATGATCTACCGGAGTGGAATAGTTTCTACAGCGAGGCCAGCGAGGTAAACCCGCCCAGAACCGAATACCTGGTTCGTTAACAGGTTCCGGGACTAACTCACACTAAAACTAGTAACCAGGATGTTCTAATTAAACCTTCTGATAAAACATTTCTGTAAATCTGAAGAAAAACCCGCAAACGCAGCACAAGTTTTTATTTAACTTTAAATCTGATAAAACGTGGAACCGTTCCCAAAACGAACGTTCCCGACCCGCAGACGGAATCGTTCCGTGTTGGTCTCTCTGAGCGGAGCAGGAACGTTTCCAGGTGTGAAGAAAACCAGGCCGGATTTATCTCTAGAGTTAATTCCATCAGCTCCTCGGGTCTCACCTCAGCTCCATGATGAAATTACCGAGAAGAAAGAGTCTGGCAATATTTAACCACCAATCAGCGCGCGCCTGATTCACTCCAGATTTGGGTTTGATGCAGAAGCAGCTCGTGACGCTCCACCAGAGCCGCTTTCTGGGGTTTGATGATATAAACGATCAACCTGAATTCCAGGCTGGTTTTCTTCCATGGCACCGTGACGCACGCGCTTTTTACGCATTCGCAGGTTAACGTGTCCGTGTGAAATCCACGTCCCTCCGCCACACTGAGAGCGTCATTGTGCATTGATAAGAGGCGCCTTTAAATGGAGATCCAGCTGTTTTCCTTCACATCTGTTTCACTGGAAAACTTCGTTCATTATTTGTTTACCGAAAACCTCATTTAGTTAGAAATGTTGTTGCTGCTGACGGTGAGCTGCGATTCTTTCCTGCTGCTAACCAGATGTTGTGCTTCCAGATGTATTCCCCTGCCAGCACCATGAACCCCGCTCTGGGCTCCATGAGTTCTACCGGCAGCTATTTCAACCTGAACCCAGCCACCGCCTCCTCTGCGGGTATGAACATGGCGTATCCTGGCAGCTCCAGCCTCAGCAGCTCCCCCCTGGCCCCCATGGGCTCCGGGCCCAGTCACATGTCCCTTTCCCCAGTGGCCTCCTCCCTCAGCTCGGGTTCTCTGACACAGCTGGGTCCTGCTGCTCCGGGCTCACTGGGCTCTTTGTCCCACTACCAGAATATGGGTCAGTCCATGAGTCAGCTGGGCTACTCCTCCACCGGGTCCCTGACACGGGCCGGGGCCAAGGAGATCCCCCCTAAGCCGTACCGGCGTTCCCTGACCCACGCCAAGCCGCCATATTCCTACATCTCCCTCATCACCATGGCGATTCAGCAGAGCGGCAGCAAGATGCTGACCCTGAATGAGATCTACCAGTGGATCATGGACCTGTTCCCCTACTACCGCGAGAACCAGCAGCGGTGGCAGAACTCCATCCGTCACTCTCTCTCCTTCAATGACTGCTTTGTGAAGGTGGCTCGATCGCCCGACAAGCCAGGCAAAGGCTCCTACTGGACGCTGCACCCGCAGTCCGGCAACATGTTTGAGAACGGCTGCTACCTGAGGCGCCAGAAACGCTTCAAGATCGAAGAGAAGACCTCCAAAAAGGGGGCTAAGAACCAGGAGGTAGGCTCGGGGAAAGGAGGCCTCGGTGGAGATCACCTGGGGGAGGATCGTAGCCCAGAAGGTGGATCAGAGGGAGCTGACTCCACCCACTCGGATAACTCCCACCCAGGTTCTTCAGAAGATCAGGCTCTCCATAGGAACACCCTGGTTCCTCTAGACTGCCCTCAGCTGTCCTCCTCCCACCTCCACAGTCCACCCGTCTCCCTGCCTCCTCCATCCTCCACCTCCTCTTCAATCCCTCCATCCTCTTTGTCCCTCGCCGGCACCTCCGCCTCCAACCCGCTCCTCCACTCTCAGTCTTTAGCCAGCAGCTCCCACCTTCTATCCAACAGCATGCAGCAGCATATGGACCTACAAAACGACGCCCTGAAGTCCCTGGATCCCCACTACAACTTCAACCACCCCTTCTCCATCACCAACCTCATGTCCAACGAGCAGAAGATGGACCTGAAGTCCTACCAGGACCAGGTGATGGCCTACAACAGCTACACCAGCAGCTCCCAGGTGGGGGCCAAGCAGATCTACGACAGTCCGAGTCCAGCAGCGATGGACTCAGGAGCCTACTACCAAACACTGTACAGCCGCTCGGTGCTCAACGCCTCCTAATATGGACACGCGCACACCTGCACAGGTGAGCCGAGACTTGGAGACTTGGCTTTCTAAAATGGTTCCTCTTCCTTCTCTCCTCCAACAGCTGCTGCTGCATCCGAGACACCAAAGAACTTGTTTTCCTCCAGCTCCTGATCAGGCTGGTTAGTTACACGTGAGGCGGAGGAGACTCGTCTGTCAGGAGAGACAGACCAAAGCTGATCTTGTACAAAGTGTAAATAGGGGTAAAGTGGTGGGAGAGGAGGCGGTTTGCTGTTATTTATGAAGGGAATAAAATTTAATATATCTTATGAAGTGTTGACCGGTTACAGCCAGATGTGCGTTATGTTTAACCCAGGTTTCAGGTGTTACTGCAGCGGGGTCACATGTCGTGTTACAGAGGGGGTTTCTACGCGTTTCTGTTAGTCCAGGTGATGTTCACGCAGCTTTTGGTCCATATGAAGAAAAAACATCTAAACGTAAGAAAAACAACTGTGGTTAATAAAAAAGTTTAAACGTTTTGTTGTTTTTGGTGGCCTTATATTTCACACACACACACACACACGCACGCACGCACACACACACACACACACACACACACACACACACACACACACGCACGCACGCACGCACACGCACGCACGCACGCAAGCACACACGCGCCTCCAAAACGAACATGTGTCTGCAGACTTTAGGCGGTTAACAAGGGAGGAGGACAGATGCCCTATGGGAGGACTTACATACAGTACTTTGCACTATGGAGCACCCACAGGTCAGGTGGGCTGATAGTGTGTGTGTGTGTGTGTTAGTGTGTGTGTGTGTGTTACTCAGATACACCCTCCTGAAACTGCCAATGCATCGGGGGGAACAGCAGAACAAGGTCCAGATCATCCCCAAAACAAACACAAGAGAAGGTCAGCTGAAGGATTCGTCTGATAAGGTTCAGGTCACATGACGTCGGTTGTGTTTAAGCGACGTTGCTTCTCAAACCCTGAAAGTGTGCTGATTTAATATATTGTTTTATTTTTGTCGTGTTCCTGTTGTCGGTTTAAATGTGATTCAACTGACTTTTTTCTTATTAAAAAGGCTGAAATGTGGGGAAGAAACGGTGTTTTACTTTGTTTCCTGTCCACCGAGTCTCACGCTGGTAACACAAAACGTCTGAATCTAAAAGCTTTTACAGATCATTATTCCTCACTGAAAGCAGGAATTAAATCTAAATAAACATTTTCTCAGACGACACCATGTAGAGGAGGAGGAACGTGCCTTAGGCCCCTTGCCCTGCGGCCAGCAGGGATAAAACTGCTGCTTCTCACCAGAAACACCGTCTAGAAGCCCGTTAGAAACGTTGCCATGTCTGCATCAGTCCTACGTCCTCAAGCGCTCATGCCCGCTCGGTGGTTGACATCAGTAGTACGTGGACACTGACGCTATTGGCTAATGCTGAGTAGTGATTTACTAGTTACATGGGGCTCTACGGGATGGGGGGGCTTGTAAAACATGAGGTCACAGAGCAGGACGACCACTTTTACAGATTTAAAGGACATGCCTCGTCCCTGAAAGGGGGAGTCCGGGATTGCTGCGTTGAGTTTAAACACTAAAACATCTAGAACCTTCAAAATGTGGTCTCTGGATTTTCCCCGATCAATAAATCAGTCAGTCAGAGTTCGTCTTAGCGAGGCGGTGCTGCAGGAACCGCAGCAGCTTGTTGAACCAGCTCTGGACCGAGTGACTGACGTGTGTGACTTGTCGGAGCGTAGACTAAACACAAGTGGATCCCACTGAGAGCCTCAAAGCAGAACCTCTGCCCAGATGATCAGTGAGACGGCTCCAGAAGCAACTGACCCGCCTCTCACCCTGGACCAGAGGAACCGTCAGCAGGTCAACAAACACAAACGTGTGGCTCTCAGCTCGGCTCCATCGCTCCGGTTTCTCTGAAACAGTTTGGAAATGAAGCCCTTTGAGTTTCAGGGAAGGAGACCATCAGCAGTAACGACACCAACGTGGTTGCTGCAGAAAGTCCAACATGATGCAGTTTATGTGTGAGGAAAAGGAAAAGTAGATTTGTTTCCTGTCTGTCTGTCTGTCGGGGCGACGGTGGCACAGGAGTTAAGAGCTCGCCCCGTAACCGGAAGGTTGCAGGTTCAAGCCCCGCTCAGTCTGTCGTTGTGTCCTTGGGCAAGACACTTAACCCACGCTGCCTGCTGGTGGTGGTCGGAGGGACCGGTGGCGTCAGTGCTCGGCAGCCTCGCCTCTGTCAGTGCGCCCCAGGGCAGCTGTAGCTACATCGTAGCTCATCCCCACCTGTGTCTGAATGTGTGTGTGAATGGGTGAATGACTGATTGTAAAGTGCCTTGGGGGGTTCCATTTTAGTCCGTCCATCCATCCGTCTGTCTGTTGCTTGAAGAAATTTTCATGATGGTGTGTTTTCGAGCCTAACTTATAAAATACTCCATCATGTTGCCGACAGCTTCCTGGAAGGTCTGCGTTCAAAGCAGAGAGCGTTTACCTCCATCAGGACTGACGAGCTGCTGCGGAGCACATTTTGGTTTGGACGATATCGTACGAAAGTGAAAACTTAAACAATATTGCCTTCCATTAACGCTCGTTGCACAAAATAAATAAAAACAATAACAGATGTGGATATTTTAAACCTGCTAAATTAGGATGAAAAGAACAAAGATCCATAAAAATGGCCTTTTGACCTCCACATATACCACATTCCCAAGGCTGGGTGAAGTCACTTGGTCGTGATGAACACGTTTGAGTCCGTTAACAACAGAATGAGGGTCGCTTTTCCTCTGTCATGGTTGCCAGTTTGTATGAACCAATCTCAAAAATGGGCTTTTTATTCATTTTGTGCTCCCAGTCACACCTGGTCACATAGCATGCATGCTACTGTATATCAGTCTCGGGATTGTGTTTGTGTGTATGCGTGCACGTGCAAGTAAAAATACACATATATATATATATATGTGTATTAAATAAATTTTGAGCAGACACCGTTTTTGCAGAGCATCTATCTGCATCAACAGCTGGTGCTGGAGGATGAAATTATTGTTTAGTTACAGTTAGGAGCTACAAAATTTCCCTTTGAGGGCTGGAAATGACCTGATGTAACCCCCATGGAGTAATGTAACTACAAAAGTAATTATTTATAACTTGAAAATGGCTGAAAGCATCCTCTAACGCGTGCTGCTTAGCCCAGCAGCCGTAATGAGGATTGTGGCAGAGACTGGAACAGCTGGAAACACAAAAACCTGACAGGAACAACACCCGCCTTTAGCTGAGTTTAGTCGGACTCGGACTCCTCAGGTGTGACTAACCTGCAGGTGGAAAATGTCCCTGTGATGCGTCTCGTCCACAAGCAGGAGAGCTGGCTGATGGTGGGCACATTCAGCCCAGGCCTCTCAGGAGGGAAACAGATCAGAGTTTTAACGCTGACTAGCTCAGGAGTGGCTGGAAGCTGAAAGCACCAACAAGCTTCAGACGTGACCCAGGTGCTCCCACCTGTAATCTGTAACCGACGGCCGACCCAGATACCAGCTGCTGATAAATGTCTGGCTGTCACAAAACAGCAGTCTCCACATCGTAAAGATACGACTTTTTCAGATTTGTGCTTTGTGCCTGGGGAATGTTTACATCGTAAAAACACCTGAATACCCACGGCTTCACGCCACGAGGCTACGGTTTGATGTCTCACCTCATCATAAACACAAACGCCACCAAAGGGGTCCATGTTGGGTACGGACACCCTCCATCTGGGTGGATAAATGTTTCCCGTGTGTTGTTTTAGCTACAGAAGCATGTTGCTGTCAGAGCTAGCAAGGAAACAAAAGAATATGTCTCTAGTTTGGTATTCACTACACCAAGCTCTAAAACTCCTGATACTGAGATATGAAACTCGATATTATTATTATTATTATTATTATTATTATTGGGGGTGCCTGGTGACCCACGTCTGGGCGAGGGAACACTGTTTCCACGTACATGTTTCTTCATAAGGGGTCTCCAGGAAGCTCGTTGGCTGATCCCTCACCCAGGACCTGTTTGCCATGGGTGACCCTACCAGAGGCAGAAAGCCTCAGAGAGCTTAGCTCCTAGGACCATCACTCAGCCCCTCCCCCACGGTAAGGTGGCAGCCCAGGTAGGGGGACATCGAATGGATTCCATCCATTCATCCATCCATCCATCCATCCATCTATCCATCCATCCATCCATCCATCCATCCATCCATCCATCCATCCATCCATCCATCCATTTTCATCCACTTATCCAGAGTCGGGTCGCGGGGGCGGTAGCCTAAGGCGAGAGGCCCAGACTTCCCTCTCCCCAGCCACTTGGGCCAGCTCCTCCGGGGAAATCCCAAGGTGTTCCCTGGCCAGCTGAGAGACATAGTCCCTCCAGCGTGTCCTGGATCTACCTTTAGGTCTCCTCCCGAATGGACATGCCCTGAAAACCTCACCAGGGAGGCGTCCAGGAGGCATCCTGACCAGATGTCAGAGCCACCTCAACTGGCTCCTCTCGATGTGGAGGAGCAGCGGGTCTACTCCGAGCCCCTCCCGAATGACAGAGCTTCTCACCCTATCTCTAAGGGAGAGCCCAGCCACTCTTCGAAGAAAACTCATTTCGGCCGCTTGTCTCCGCGGTCTTGTTCTTTCAGTCTCTACCCAAAGCTCATGACCATAGGTGAGGGTAGGAACGTAGATCCACCGGTAAATCGAGAGCTTCACCTTCTGACTCAGCTCTCTCTTCACCACGACAGACCGGTACAACGCCCGCATCACTGCAGACGCAGCACCGATCCACCTATCGATCTCACGCTCCATCTTTCCCTCACTCGTGAACAAGACCCCGAGATACTTAAACTCCTCCACTTGGGCCAGGACCTCATCCCTGACCCGGAGAGGACATCGAACCATTTTCCGACTGTAGACCATGGTCTTAGATTTAGAGGAGCTGATTCTCATCCAAGCTGCTCCACACTCGGCTGCGAACTACTCCAGTGAAAGCTGAAGATCACGTTCTGATGAAGCCAACAGGACCACATCATCTGCAAAAAGCAGAGACCTGATCCTCAGACCACCAAAACAGATCCCCTCCACACCTTGGCTGCACCTAGAAATCCTGTCCATAAAGGTTATGAACAGGATCGGTGACAAAGGGCAGCCTTGGCGGAGTCCAACTCTCACTGGGAACGAGCCCGACTTACTGCCGACAATGCGGACCAAGCTCTGACACCGGTCATACAGGGACCTAACAGCCCGTATCAGAGGGCCTGGTACCTCATACTCCCGGAGTACCCCCCACAGGGCCCCCCGAGGGACGCGGTCAAACGCCTTCTCCAAATCCACAAAACACGAGTAGACTGGTTGGGCAAATTCCCACGCACCCTCCAGGATCCCCCTAAGGGTATAGAGCTGGTCCAGTGTTCCACGGCCAGGACCAAAACCACATTGCTCCTCCTGAATCTGAGGTTCAACAATCCGACGAACCCTCCTCTCCAGAACCCTGAATAGACCTTACCAGGAAGGCTCAGGAGTGTGATCCCCCGTAGTTGGAACACACCCTGCGGTCCCCCTTTTTAAATAAGGGGACCACCTTCCAGGTCTGCCAGTCCAGTGGGACTGCCCCCGATGTCCACGCGATATTGCAGAGCCGCGTCAGCCAACACAACATCCAGAGCCTTAAGGAACTTCGGGCGGATCTCATCCACCCCTGGAGTCTTGCCACAGAGGAGCTTTTAACCACCTCAGTGACCTCAGCACCAGAGATTCGAGAGGCCAACCCAAAGTCCCCAGACTCTGCTTCCTCACTGGAAGACGTGTTGGTGGGATTGAGGAGGTCTTCGAAGTATTCTGCCCACCGATCCACAACGTCCTGAGTAGAGGTCAGCAGCACACTGTCCCCACTATAGATAGTGTTGGTAGCACACTGCTTCCCCCCCTGAGGCGCCGGATGGTGGACCAGAATCTCCTCGAAGCCGTACGGACGTCTTGCTCCATGGTCTCACCGAACTCCCATGCCTGGGGGTTTTCCTTGGCGACCACCCGAGCCGCGTTCCGCTTGGACTGCCGGTACCCGTCAGCTGCCTCAGGTTCAACCT